TATTATATACTACGTCATTTATCTGCCTCTATTCTCACTTCATGTATCCCCATTTTTCAACTTATACAGCAGCTCGCTTATGGTGGAAATTCGACTGTATCTAAACGTTCTCGAGTCACTGTCCGGTTGAAAATTGCATGTTACCACCGAATATGAGTACTGAAGCAGTTTTTCTGAAACCACGTGCACCATTCAAACTGGCTGCCTTCAACGTTCGCACACTTATGCAGGTCGGACAACAGATAGGGCTGGCTATGTCTTTGGAAAGTCTTCATATCGATGTCTGCTGTCTATCCGAGACCCGTATTCAAGACGCTGGCGAAGTACTACAAATTCGCTCCCCATCTATTGCTTCAAAAAGCTTGTTTTACGTGCGTTTATCCGGGGACCCTGTGGCATCTTCGTCTGGTCTTGCTGGCGTTGGTATCTCACTAAGCGCTAGAGCTGAGGCAGCACTAATCGATTGGATCCCCATTAACAGTCGGTTATATGCTGTTAGATTAGAAAGTTCCATCAAATTGAGAAGAAATCGGTGTGAGGAACGATGTCTTTTCGTCATCTCCGCCTATGCCTCGACAGATTGCAGCCCGGATGCAATCAAGGATGAGTTTTACCACCAGTTATCTGTTCTTCTCCAGAAAGTGCGTTCGACAGATATTGTAGTACTAGCGAGAGACTTGAATGCTCAGGTCGGGCGTCTAGGCACAGAAGAGAGTCGTTTAGGTGGCCGATGGGGACTCGTTGGTCGCAGGTCAGATAACAGGGACCGTCTACTGCAACTGTGCACAGACCACAATCTGTTTCTGGCTAGCACTAACTTTCGGCACAGTCATCGCCGATGTGCCACCTGGCGTCCTCTCTCTGCATCCCAAGCCTGGACTCAGATTGGTCACATCGCGATCAGCTACCGCTGGCGTGGTTGTGTACAAGACTGCCACCCCTTTTGGAGTACCTATCTGGACTCTGACCATGCCTTGGTCTGCTTCAATCTTGCCTTACTTTTCAGTGGACAACGAAGTGACCACCACCAAAAGATTGATGTTAACAAGCTGGTTGCAACTTCTGTTGCAAGTAAGTATCGAACCGAGCTAGCCTCTAGGCTAGCTACCACTCCACCGAAAAGTATAGATGAGCATTGGTTGCAATTGCATGACGCCATGAAAATGGCGGGAACAGTCAGTTGTGGGTTTGCGAAACGTCCCGCTTTTAAGCACTGGGTTTCTTCTGGTTCCTTACAACTCATTGAAGCCCGTCGGTCTACTCCGGGTGACCGTGAGTTTGACCATAAACGAAGGATGTTACGTAAGGAAATTGGGCAAAGCTTGCGTAAGGACCGAGAAGCCTGGTGGTCGGAGCGTGCTAATGAGCTGGAAGCAGCAGCTGCATCTGGCAAATACCGGAAGTTTCTCCAACTCATCTAAGCCACTGGCAGCAAGAAGTCTGGTGTGAGTGAAACAATCTGCGAGGATGATGGGATGCCAATCACTAACATCCATCGACGTCTTGGACGGTGGGCAGAATTTTTCGAAAGGCAGTTCATCTGGCCTGCTGCTCCGGCAACATCGGTCAGACTGTCCTGCCCTCCATGGCCGGTGACGACTGATCCACCAAACGAGGAGAAAGTCCGTAAGGAATTCCAACTCTTGAAGCGTTACAAATCACCTGGCCCAGATGATTTATCTCCGGCTCTTTTTAAAGATGGTGGTGACTTTCCGACTAAGGAATTGACGACGTTGGCGATCGTGTTGTAGTTTTATTTTGTTCTTTTCGTAAAGTGAACGCAACTTGTGTGAGTGAAAGAAATTTTTCTGGTTGTATTTTTTAAGTAAACTGTTACTCCTATTATTATTATCATTATTATTATTTCACTCTCATGCACTAATTTCTGTTCGTTGCTCTGCTTTTTATTATACACACTCTACATTTTCTATCTCTTCAGAACCTTATTGTTATTGTGTGGCGCACATATATATGTAGTGCCCCCTTGTACCAACGTTTATGTGTTCAAATTAATAAATCACCCAAAACATCGAAAAGGGAAATGTTCTGGAAGGTCTGTATCCTTTTTTGTTTTTGCGACAAATGATACCAATCAACAATCGCATATAAGTTCCTGCGTCAGACTGTGAATGTTACAGTTAGCTAGAAATAAATATTATCTGATCTTATAAATCTTGGTAAGTCAGTCAGCTACAACGTAGGACCAGGCACATATATGCATCGGTTCAAGTTGCCATTACCTCATTAACACAACAAGATGGACACCGGATTCATAAAAGTAGTTAATTCAGAGGTGGTAATATATAAAAGAAAGATTGGAATAAGGATATAGTACAGGAAGAATCGTGGTAAGTTGAAGACGATCCATGTTGATTACCTAGTAGTTTCAAGTTTGCTGAAAGATAGTTTAGTTTTAGTTCTTCATCTGTTTCCTTATACTTTAATTAATTGTTCTAGCTAAAAATTTCCCAAGGGGTTTTTCTCCATGTCTTTCAGTATGTTATTGAAATGAGTCGATATACGACCATCTGTTATCGCAAATAAATAAATCACAAATAACTGTATAATGACCAAATATTCAGAGTTCCGTACTTGGTACGGTAACTAGTAAATTTTTTAAAATTAACTTAAATGGAACCTGAATATCTGATCAACGAAACCTACATAATTCTCTGCCATCACAGGAGTACTGATTTATTTGAACCTAATTAAGATTATTGCCATACTTCATGTTTGAATATTTCATTGTGTACCCCATCAAAATAAAATACTTGCTTATTTTCAGTTTATACAACCCCCATGTCTCCAAAACAATTTAGTTAGAAATCAATTCAACATAAAGCACGGTTTACATATGTTACCATATTTAATTGTTTTTCTAAATAAATAAGTATACAATACAATCTGGTCACGTTATTTGTGATCAGATGACTGTAATAAGGCATTAGTAATCTACCAATTGAAAAAAAAGAAGTGGTGACACCACTTGTGTCTTCGTGTAAGTAGGCAACTCTTACTGTTATGTAACCTTAAATAAAGTTTCCATTCATTTAAAAGTAGAGATCATGAGTTGAATATCTAAAATTGAATTATTTTTATTGGTTGTACAGAATTTCGGTTGGCTTATTGTTTAGTATGAATAGTCAATAAACCAAGGACAGATCTATTCAATTTTGATTTATCCTGTAATAACTTTTTAATTTACATGGAAAATATTAGTTAATTTTGTCTTGAAAACATAACTCGTTTGTGTTTAGTTAGATATTAACAGTCGATAAATATGGAAACACATTCTAGTAGCGTAAAAAATTCGTCATATGTGATAAGTCTTGTCGATCGAACGCTATATTCGTTTTCCTAAGCTATTCCGATGACCAGCACGCTAGAACTATACAGCGACCTGAACACCAGAAAGAAGACGCAAAGTATGAGAGAGACACTACTCCAAGGTTCGTTTTTCTACAGAAAACATAGGTATTTATAGATGTTAACCGTTGTCAAATCAACATCATATTTCCGCCAGTCCGTTAACGACATATTATGCTACTGACAAATAGTAGCACGCCACGTTGAAATTCTAGAATGCTCCATCATGCTTTGATTGGCTAGGACTCTTCGGCTCGTTTTGGGCCTCTAGAGGCTCCGTTGAAGTTCTCCGGAAGCCGACTCAGCAATATGTTTTACATATGTATATATATTTGGTGATTTTATATTTCTTGGCACTCATTTAAAATTCAATACACTCTAGGGTATTTAAATATTTTGAGTTAATTAAAAAAAACACTGGGAATCTGTAAAGATGAGAAATTTCGTAAAACTGTTCACAGTACAGAATTCCTTTGAATTTAAATTTATTTTACAATCAGTTAAGACATCAAGTTTTAATGAGGAGCACGTCAACTGAATAAAAACCTGGCGAGTTTGTTACCTGTAGCAAATTGGACATTGAAGACTTTATAGACGATAAGTGAAATAATCACAATATTGTGGAATAATTATCAAGTCCAAGATTCCCAATCATAGCGATTGTTTTGAATTATTAGTAGAGGTTTCAAATTTTTACTTGGGAGTTAAGAATAATTACATAAATATACATTGAAATAGTGATGAATACTGATACCTTAGAATAAAGATTTTAGAAGTAATGTATTCTCTGAACTGGATGACCTATTCGTGGTTTCATGATCTTTTTAGAGAAAACAATCAGCACACTCAAAAAAATATAATATTAGGATTTTCAAACAATTGACTAACAGCTCGCTTTGTTGACTAAGGATTTGATTAGTTGTTGTCAATTATTGTGCAACCGTTGTTTACACGTTTATCTGGAGTTAAATTTTATCAATTTCGTTCATGAATTATTGATCGGGCCGATTTCAATATGCCCACTGATTGAAGTTTCAGTATTTTATGTTCCATCTGTTCAATATTTTGGCATTTTCTCAATCTAACTCATCTCCACAATTGTGCACATGTATTGCTATAGGCGAGGCTATATCTCGATGTTTAACACTCACTTAATGTTTACGTATATACATGAGGATATGGTAAGTACTTTATCACATGTAGCTCTTTTCTCAAATACTGCAATTTAGCTTGTAGATAATGTTCGTTTGTCGTTGTATTTTTTGGCTTGTATAATGTTGCAAGTAAACATTTTATGAGATGCACCTATTCCTAAAGGCCTTAATAGTCTGTTTATGACCATAGAGATGTTCTTCATGTAGGTTAGGGTAGATTTATTGGAATCTATGTTTATTTACAATTTCATGGTGTATATGTATCTGTTAATTGAATTGTAAACACAAATTTTCATTACAAAAGTGTAATGGATTCAAAACAAATACATTACAAGACAAATGAACAAAATCTGTTAGTTGAGGACTTTTTTAAATGCACTATAAACAGTATAAAGATATGAAATAGAATATTTATTCAAATATATATATGAATAGAAAAAACACCATATACCAACATTTTATCTAAACAATTATCAAATGTTATGATGCAAAAACATTTGAATTTATTAGACGTAAAGAAGGTAGTATTGTGTTTATTTCATCTTGTGACCATATTAAATCTGTAGAATAGCTAGTATCATTATTGTTATTATTTTGGGACGTGAAATGAACTTGATCGTGACCTGATGAAGATGAATGAATGATACTACTGAAAGTAAAAAAAAGGACAAGAAACACAATCATTAGTATTTAATGACATTAAAGCATTAGATACTACAGACAAAATCAATTAGAAGTGATATATCAATTAATTAACCAATTGGAATAATGATTTTACTATCAAATAATTAATGACGGCATTTACTTTCTCAGTCAGTCAGTAACAATTTCGTACGCACGTACATCAGTTCGAGTTGACTATATTACGGAACTAGCATTTTCTTTCTAATTCCTTATAGTCTGTACATTATTGTTATTTTTATTAACGGCTTTATTAAATATTATATTTTTGGTATAATATAGAATTTTCAGCACGAAGTATGTCAAGAAGTTCCGTTTTCTTATTTCTTGATCAATACTGACGATAAATAATATGTGATCGACAGTTGGATGACAGCACTTCATGAAATCGACATTTCAATGATTAATGCCCGCCACCTGATTGTACTTTTTTTAATTTGTACAGCGAAAGTTCATAAAATTTTCATAAATCCGCCTGAATAAGTTATGCGATTAATAGACATAATGATATTGTTGAAACAAACAACAGGTAACCTGTTGCAATATCTAGATGACAAGAACAGATAACCAGATATTCAAGCAGGTCGCCAATTTGGTTCTTGTTTGGTTTTCAGAGATTGAACTTATATCAGTCGACTTTTGTGAAAATGATACTGGTTTTTTTGGTCGATATTATTACCGAGTTGAGTATTTTTAATTTTAATCAAAACATTTGCAAAGAATGGTATAATTTTAACGGGTGTAGGCGTTGTTATTAATTAAAATACGAATATTTTATGACAGCACTAAAAAGTAACTGAAAAATTACTCAGGAATGTTGTTTAAGAAAAGACAACGGTGACCTAGTTATTCATAGCAATACTACCACTACTGTCAGCGTTTACACAAATGTCCATGATTTCAATGAACAGAATTCGTCTGAAGATGTTTTGTATTTAGTGCAACATCCTAATTTAGACATTTTATTGGATATTCAAGATATACGGGATAAGTTGAGAAAAACATTCAGTAGAAAACAATATTTGATAAACCAATTACATAACTATTGCTTGTTGCTAATTAACTGAGGACTTTGTTGGTCACCATTTTGTAATACACAAATGTGATAAACAATCAACAATTTATTTCCTCTAAATTCACAATCGTAGTTTAAAAAACTATTTTTCTGAACGAAATTGGAATGCATTTGTTTAGAATCCGATCAAAAGTAATGGATCAACTCATTCATTAAGTACAAAATTGTATATTTAACTTCAAAACACATTTGGAGGATTTGAGGTTTATTGATACTAGCCAGTTCCCTGAAATGAAGCAGATATAGTCATATTTGAACTTTTAAACTCATTGACTATAATTAGCTACTGCATCATCAAACTTTGATCAAGTAGTTTCATAATTCTTAAACATCGAGGAAGCTCGATTTTGGGTATTAGCAAACTGGTTTATAGTAATAGTTGATTTTAAATTGTTGATAATATTAAGTAATAGTGGAAATAAGATTCATAATAAAACGAGAAATGCAATATTAAACCGATTTACATTTTGTAGATGGGTAATACGTACTACTTATAACAAGAAAGAGAATTATTTTGCTTTATAACATACCCATCTTCACCATCAGGATTATTGACAATAACTAATACATCCGCTTGGAATTGTGTATATCTATATAAAGCCATGTAAATGAATACAACATCTTCATTGGATTGATTAAACTTGGACACTTTTTGCTGTCCAGATAATAAAACGACAGAAGAACAACTATAAATTAATTGGAAACATAAAATTTATTATATAGAGAGGTTTATCAACAGAGAGAGAGAGAGATCAAACGAATAAGTAATACATTCACAGTGAAGTCGATTCTTTTCAGTGTTAGTTAGATTTTGAACCCATTGAACAAGTTAGTGATTGTCTGAATTCAGTAGCTCAGTAGATAACACGTCGAGATTCGGAGTGAACAGCACTTGGTTTGAATCTGTGTAGAAATCAACACTAAGATGAAAGGATACCCACCTGACGAGTCAAAAACAGAGCAAAACGCATGTACTGGACTTTAATGCTGGTTACAATCCATATGTGTAACTGATGTTGCACAGAAAAATCCGCAAGGTAGCTTTATAGATTTTTTAAAAATCAGTTTACAAAACAAGCAATTCAGACAAACATGTAAAACAATTGGTTCACAACATAAGTAAATACATAGATCCTTCCAAATACAATAGATTTTTATTTATGTTCCGTAAAACAAATTCAAGAAAAACACAAATCTTGATAATGAGGCCTAGTTGTATCCCCCAACAACGACAACAGATATTGAGTACCAAGTTGGCAATTACTCAATTACCTGAATATTTATATATATATACATAGGCGACTGTTACATTTTCAAGAGAGAGAAAGTGTAAATATGAAGCGAAACGATGGTTATGTAAGAAATTTTAAAAGCAACTGTTTGTCTAAAAAAATAGAACCTTCAAAATATAAGAATTAACCAACTAAAATAATCAAATTCACTTTTATTATTTCTCATGTTAACCCCTTTTTTTAAAGGAAACCAGTATAATTAATTTGAGATTGATTAATCCATAAATGTAAGATTGTAATCTACATAAGTTTTTTAAAAATCTTTGATTATTGTGCTGGCTAACATAATCTAGTTGTTGGAAGATAGACATAGAGAGAGAGAGAGCGCGCGGGTGAAAGAGTACAACATTCTTACTAATACGTATCAATAGATGATTTTTTCTGCATTTCTGAAATACAACAAGTTTATTGGTTTTTATCTTCAAAAAAGAAAAACTCTTGAATGAATTATTGAATTTTGTGCATGTTTAAGTATAGTAAACTGAGAAATTCATTTGTGTAGGTTAAATGATTTTGTCTAACGCATTTTATTTAAAGAAAATAATAGTAGTCTAGCTAATAAACATCTAAATATGGAAATATTCTATTTTTATGCTAGTTTATTATTATGGTGTATGCTACTGATATTGACAAACATAGGCAGTATTTATCACTAATCAAAAAAGGAATGCTTGGAGGCGGACGACTGAGAAAATCGGAGAGAAGAGAATGAGATTAGAGAGTGATTGGTACGTAAACGAAGGAAAAACAAAGTTTGAGACAATTGGTGAATATTTTGAGAATGAAGTATTACCGTATGGTCAACAGATTTTATCAAATACATTTGGTTGTCCCCACAGGGGTTCTCATTCACTAGATGATCACTTGGTACATTATAAAATACATTATGTATATTTCGAGAATGTTTTGACCAAACTTTATTTATTTGAACATATAAATATTGGTATGGGTGGGTACTGTATAAATATGCTCCATAAAAATAAGATATGACATTGTGGAGAGATAAGATCCGAGAAGGGGAACGTAATCAAAAACAAAAAAAACGTGTAGAAAATTAATGAAAGAAAATAAATGGCGATAAGAGAGGAAGACTAATAGAAGGAATGTAATAAGTTCTTATTTTATAAAAAATGGAATAGAAAACTAAATCAGGATCACAATTGGTTGCCATTTTGAGTTCTTTCTGATATGTTCTCAAGCGAATAAGTTGCAACACATCTAGGATCAAAACGACAAAGTCACAAAGAGTCGCCAGATGTTAGTCCTCTGAAGTTTTCTTTCGTTTTAGGGTGCCAGGTCGTTGATTAACCACTTCTCCGCCTTTTCCAACCAGCCCTAGTGTTCGTAACCAACGCACGATTTGGAAGCCGCTAGGATAATATTTGAAACATTCCCATTTTTACTTTACTGGACCTCAAAATTAAGAATATAATTTTGTTACTGAATGTCATCAATCCTTTGGAGACAAAGATAATCGGACACAGAGTTGCTAACATCCCACAACTCGAAGAGGTCGGGTTTAACAAAACTCTTCTCACTCGGCCACTTACAGATACACAAACATCAATACGACTCCGAAAATGACTCTGACTACTTTTAAGAGCTTACAACCAAGAATGAGTGAAGACACAGGTTGTTGCTAGTTTTGTAGAAATACGTTGCATTCAGTAGGTCCAAGGTACATGTTATACCTATAGAAATTGATCACTAACTCAATAAGTGCAGATTGCATACATTGGATATCATCTCAAAGTTAGACAATAACATACGCATACTCAAAATGAAAAGTCTTTCTACATGTCATACATTCACATAACTACTACCTGCTTACATCGGAGCTGTTTCGAGGATGGCACCGGTCGTAAATGCAAGAAGGAATGGCAAGATTGGGCAAACCTGTCTAACTTCACTGTTCAAATGTAATAATGGAAAAAAGTAGTTGTGCGTACGCACTATCCCTGAGGTGTTTACACACAGAGCCTTCTAGATGTTGATAAACTTTACAGATGCATCCTTCTACAGCATGAAATATCAGGAAATAGTCCTGTTCAATGAATCAAAGGCAGCCCTGATATTAATAGACATAAGGATTGTTAACCTGAAATAAGTAAGGAGCTGCTCTAACATATGGTGGAGGGTGAAAATGCGCTCATTGCATCCGAGACCTAAACGAAGCCAGCCTGTTCGTCTTAGCAACACTTTCCGATGGAATGACTACTCGCCTAAAGCATAACTCGATTTGATATTTTGTTCAGGACAGCACTTACAAGAATATCACAACTTACTTCGCGGATTGATCTTAACTAGACAACTATTGAAAGCCAGGAAGCAGAAAACACCTGTTTCTTCCCAGTGTAGGATTTTTTAAAAGTGCACATCCATGGTCTCATGAGAGATCTAACTCAAAAATTCAGGCCTTGCTGTGAGTGTCTAAACTTTAAACCACTAAGTTGATATCTCATGGTTTACATGTCACCTTTATATCATTTGTTAGTTTAATAGTTATGAATGAAGTTCAGGAAGCTATGTATTGCTTCACTCTTTATAGAGAGGGAATTATCATCAATACCATGGTTAACCCATTCGTTGATAGGCAATAACATATAACTGACAGAAGTTTTTCGCCACGGTGTTATGAAATTTCTGAGTAGATATGGATAACAGTGGGATCACAGATAAATACTCATGATATACGAACCCTTCAAGTGTATTTAGCCATCGTGTGAAGTCTGAAAATTCTGAACTCAATATCCCAAGGGGTCATAATATTTGAACACAGTGTAGTTGCTTCAATTAAAAAAGTAATGTCTAGTGACAGCTAGTTTTTTCCATGGGTATCTAGCTGGAGTTAGATCTTGGTAATAACTACCTTTAAACTGAATTCGTTTGTCGTTAATGGTTTCAAATATGTTAGTGAATGATTATAAACATGAAAACTGGACTTAGAAAATTCCTGCTGACTGCATTCACAAAACTTTTATTAAACTAGAAGCACGTTTTACAAGTTAATTCACAAAAACATTGATGAAAGCATAATATGTCTATTTTAGAAAACTTACTAAGGATCTGGATTATGTAGTGACACAGTTCTTAGAGAAGAAATGTTTGAATCTGTAGCTTCATTAGCTGCACCGATTTCATTAAAATGCATTCTGATAATGGTAGATATCAAAAAGGAATATATTATTAACCAATGAGAAAAAAGGATGGTTATAAAATTCAAGAAAAAATCCTGAATATTTTAGTATATAGTAAATTAAATGGTTAAAGGAAAATTGTTCAAGTTAAAGGGGGTTCTGATTACCGATTGACAACAATTACACAACCATTGGAAAATAGAAAATACTAGATCAATTTTTTCCGTTCTGTACTAAACAACCGGTATATGGATGACATATTATTTCTTCTGAGATATAAAGTTACTGCGTTAAATCTTATATCTGATTGTACAATGCTCATGACTTTAATCACTCACAAGTTTATATTAAACTGTGGTAAAAGAAATTGTCACTAAAATAATCAAAATTGAAAAAACTAGTAACCCACTGTTCAATGGTAATTTTTTAGAATGACTCTTCAAGGGTTCAGGTGAGGATCTAACCTATAGAACCAAGCAAGTAAACTGTAAAGTGAATTAAGAATCAAGACATAATATAATAGCCTTGTTATATCAGAAGTTAAATGATATTAGAAAATGATAACCATAGGATTACTAATGAAATTTAAAGCGGTACGAAACAGCTATTCAGTGACATAAATACGTTATCAGATTTTAAGTACATGTAAAATTAATTATGACAGGAATTACCTTCAAGAGGATATTCAAAATATAATAGCAGGGGCTACTAATCAAAATGAACAATCAGTAATTAGATAAGTAAAGTCAAGGTAATCTACCACATAGATGAATATTCAATCCAGATGTAATTGGTATTATCACAATTAGGAACAATGTTAAATATACACTCCAGGTTATAATAGTAATGTTATAATAATAATGTACAATGGTGCAGTAAAACGTATCATTAGTAAAAACTCTTTACAGTGTCACAGTAAAACACGTGTAAATTATGGATTTCATAAATAAAACATGACACAATTCATATATAATACATCTCAGTACAGAATGATTGAACGTAGATCATGCTAATGAAGTTTAATAACGTCTAATAAAACACAGTATTTTTCCTTTCAGAAAAGCATATAACTAATGCATTCACAATTCAAAGCGAAGACACATAATTTACAGCATGAAATCTATTCAAATGTTAGTCTTTACAACTACACAAACGAAACCGATACCGATAAAATTTCCGAAAATGAAAGGAATTAACACTTTTACAAAAGAATGAAAGTACCTTTCCATATCCTTATTAATTTAATAAAGCTATTTACGCTTTTGATATCTAGAAATTATGTGATAATGTGAAAGGTGTAATATTCAGTTAATATGTATTTACGATAGTTGAGATCATGAGTCAATTGAAGCTAGACCAGCATGGAAAACCTGAAAGCACTGGACGTTTCGTTGTACTGTGAGACTATTTATCAGTGCGCATCCACGGTTACGTCTCGCGAGATTCGAACCAATAGGTCTGGCGCGCGAATGATTAAACTTTAAACCACTGAGCCGGCATCCGACGGTGTTAATATCTAACTTCAAGCAATCCACGAAATTGAGTGACACATCCACCATTGTCTTCAGTGAGTCACTATCTCACAACAGCTTCAACTGACTCATGATCTCGACTATTAAAATTACTATAACACCCACAAAACCCCTTCTGATACTATATATGTATTTACGTTAAATCTTCATTAGACCATATCTCTAAATACAGCATTTTATACTGTGAAATTTGTATACATATAGAGATCATGAAGATATTAACAGAAATAAAATATTAAACTTCTCAGTCAATCTATCTACAGTTTTAAAGTACTTTGAATTTTGAGCCTAATAAAACTTTAATGAAAGGAATATATTTTCTGGTAATACAATACGTAGTTAAACATTAAGTACTCAGTAAATTGTAGATATTCATTAAAAATGAAGCACATTGAGGGAAATAATAATGATTACAATTATTAGTAACATGGCAATAAGTTTTCAAATTACCAATGAAAAAATTTCATGGAAAAAATGTGGAACTAACAATAATAGCTACTAATAGGTAACACAAATTAATTGATATGTTTGAGTACAGTATATGAAAACAAAGTAGAAGACATATCTTTGTAGTTAATTATACAGGACCTCTATTTTTAAAAGTATAGATTCTACAGTTAACCTTAGCCTGTAATTCAATATAAGCTAATCTTAGTACGGGATTACAATAATATTAGGTAGCAGTAAAAGTTTCTAGAGCTGAATAACCTAACAAAAACTTCAGAACTAACGTCAAATTCCATTACGAACGGATTGATAGAATTTATAATACAATTGTCAGTGTTTTGATTTGACCTTTTCTCCCGAGGAATCTTCCATAGCAGAACTTTAAGAAACTGAGATTTCTAATCAATGCACCATGCCTCGGCACGTTAAGCACAGACAACTATTCAATCACATAAATAGGGAATGGACTCCATAGGTTATGTTAAGAAATCGTGTACGTATTTTGCATGTTTTCATTAAAAATCAAAAACTAGATAATATTTAATAGAAAATTCGACTTTACCTTGCTGCATCTTCATGATTACTAGCATCCACGTATTCCAAAATATCTATAGTGATACTTTGAGAGGTTGACGGATGAACAAATACTTCTTGGTTATCAGGAATTTGACGTAAATCACTTACGATTGCAGGTAGTTAACAGTTTAATCAAAAAAGGAATGTATGAATTAAGAATAAGTTATATACAGTTTTTTTCAAAAAGTATACTTAATAAAATTTGAAATGAAAAAGTCCTAGAAGCCAAGACAAAAGATGAGCACTAGGATATGGATCACAGGACCCAATCTCAATTGATCTAAATTTATATTGGTGTTCATGAAACTTAAAGGTTTTGAGTTCAACTTTGTATGGAAAGGGTCAAAGGTAAACATTTTAGTAAGGCCCCCCGAAATAGGACTAACAAGTTAGTTATCCAATGTATTTTGGTTTTTAGATGTTCCTATATCTAATACCAATTCAGTATGAAAGATACTTAGAAGGAAACTAATGTTGAAGTAGAACAAAGGTGAACATTAATATTTGATTAGTCAATTAAACAGATGGAAATATATATATACTGCCATTAGGATAATTTACTATTTCATGTAGATTTCCAAATAACTTATTTTAATATCCTTATAGTTTTTCACTAGACTTATCGTCTATTCAATCAAGCAAATAAAAAAAGATCATCTTGTTCGAAATCAAATTCAGTATTTCTTAAGTTTATTTATCTATCAAACCAGAAGTGCAACGCTGAATTTCAACATACCTAGTCTAATAATTACAAGAACTGAAAGCTGTGAATTCATGGAGAAGTTAACAAACAATTTCTGGTTTTTTTCAAATATTCTAGTTCATACATTTTTGTCGTGTTAAACAAATTATATTTTACATTAACAGTTACTGTGTAGGTAAATATTTGTTTCAGGATGAGTATGATGGAAATAATAAAAATGACAGTTAAACATATTGCAATCACTTAAATATTTTATAAGATTATTAGTACGGGTACAGTGTATTGTTAAAATTGTGCTCCAGAAATAAAAGATTCGATAATAATATCAATGAAGAGTTCGGTAGTTCTTTGGTACTCATTTATTTACAGAAATCTATTGAAAACTGCAAAATGATTATAAGGCTGAATGAATTATCGTTAGAATGTTTGGTGTTTAGAGTGCATACTAATAAAGTTGAAGTTTGAATACAAATTAACTATTGGTAATGACCTGTTGCCTGAGCTAGATGGTTTAATTGCCGTTCGGGATAAAATTATTATATTTTACTTCATACAGAAGTTGATTATTTTTTGGCTCTTTCAATCTATATCATAGAGTAAACATTTTACAATGGAACTTTAATATTTCGATAAGTACTACCTGACATATTTAACTGGCATACAGTTCAATTACTTTTCGGCACAATTCGTCAAGTACAGAAAAGTTTATAATTTGTCTCACCTGGCATCAACTACATTCGTTGGTAATAGGCATTGAAATGCTCCATCAAACAATGGATGAGACTGCATTGTACTGAAGATTAGCGTAAAAGAATTTTTAAAAAGAAGTATGAAAAGAATTAGAACGAACGGATTAAAAAAATCAAATACAACTTGACGGTAAATAGTGATCTGTCAACGTGCACTAGATAATATCACAATGTATAGTCTTTAGAGGTGATCACTTCTCCTTCTAATAACACTTACATTGTGAGCGTTAAACTAAAAGATACATCAAGGTGGACATTAACTTGATATAAAAATTATTCGACGTAGATTATATGAAGTCTTATAAAATGGTTTTGAGCTAATTTACATTTGTAAGTCGAAAGTGAGTTTTCACCTTCCGTGCTGAAGTAGGAGCTGTTGGGTTTGTGACCGAGATATTAACTGCAATATACAAACGAATCTCCGGATAATGTACTTCTTAAAACGATTATCTATCATAATTTGAATTACATAATGGATATTTCTTCATTTTATTTTTATTTATTCATTAGATGTTTTCGTTCAGTACGAAAATGATATATTTGTGGTGTCCTGATGAGCGGAAATTATGATTTCTTCTCTTTAAAGAAACGACTTAAACTAAGTTGTGAAATGTACGAAATTCTTATGTATACTCATTGGGATATCACAAATATATGATTATTTTATTGTAAATAATCTACCCAGTGCTCTATTGAATTGAGATGTTATATTTTGTCCATTGGATTATATTAGTCTTGTGTCCCTATTTAATTTAATTTAAACACTGAAATTGATTCATTTAAGATTTAATTAGCAGTTTAATAGTAAATATCAAAATATTATCTTATCAAGATTATACATAACTAATGGGGTTAATAAACTAATCACCATGGAACTAACAAAGTCAACAACAACACAGATACAAATCAATGATATTAATTAATTGAATTACATAATGCCTTATTTGGACATATTTTATAAAGATTAAAAATGAACTGAGACATAGGTTGATATATGATCCGAGTTATCATCTAAAAAAAACTTATCGAATTTGCATATTACTATGGCCTACGAAGAGTTGTCGACTCATATTTATTTGAAAAATTCACTTTTCCTAATTATCTAATTTGCAATCTCTATAAGCAGTATCGGTTTGTTTGGGGTTTATATTAAAGAATCGAATTAACCGGTAACTTTAAATAAAGACATATAATCACTTAAAGATTTGATATTAGTTCTCAAATTACATTATAATGAATTGGTTATTTATTTGTCTACTTTCGAATGTTTCTCAATAAACATTAGTAATAGTTGAGAATAAATGCACTTTATAATTGTATAAGTATCCAGTGCTTTTTAATTTTCGACGACTGATAAATCATTTCTGATAGATAATAGACAGCTAAAAATAGATACAATGGTATGAAGTCATATTCATTATCGACTCAAAATGCCACATTTCATAACCGTGCATAAACTGAAAAATAAAATATACAGAGGATGAGTGTTCCTGAGTTAGAGAGATAAAAAGAGATGATAGTGGATAATTGTAAAAGAAAGTCTTTGAAAGTTGATCTCAACTAAATCGAGTTGGACAGTTCGGATATTCACACTATAATTTATAGCCTTGTTCGGTGGTCAGTTAACCGTACAACTTAGTGTATCATTATTTTTTACGTAATTCAGTCAAAGTAGGGAATTATTTAGTGAATATATTTCAGTCACTAAGAGGAATAGTGGTGTATAAAAATATTATGAGTTACATTGTATTTTATACTTAATATCGATATTAATAAGGTGGTACTGACAAAAGTAAGCAAACCCTTTCATACAATTTCCACCCAATGCAAATAAACGTCAGATGTTACATAATCGGAAAGAGTCGACAATAAGTTTTGAAAATATGTTTCATGCTAGTTAACACTCATTAACAAGACATGTTTGTTTTTGTGAGTGAACTGATGGGCTTTGTTAGATTGCCTCTACTGTCACAGTGAGAGACGCTACCACTGAGTTTTTCATTCAAACTCAGTCGACTTCCTGTATGGCTGATATATTTATACTAAATGATCAGTGAGTCATGTTGGGTGGTCGACGTCTACCGATTAAGACGTAATGCGACTACCAGATTAAACGGACCAACAACCCTATTAGTCCAACTGTTGAGACATGACATGATTTACTTACAATTGAATACTTGGTCAATATATAAACATTTCTAGTTAGCTGCCTTAAATAGGTTTGAATTTACTAACTAAATGGTGTAATAATATTCACTAATTAATAACGTATGAGACACAACTATTTGATAAGATGAAACAACAATAAAATAAACTATTTTTACTTTAAAATAATTCAAAACACAACAGAAATGCATATTTATGTATAATTTATTCTATTTTACAAAAAGCTTGCACATATTTGAATATGTTTAAAGGAGGGTTGGATAAAGAAGACAATTTACGTTACAATAACAATTTAAGAAACGTTCTAATTTTATCTACAATAAAAGTATAAAATGGTTATAAAATCGACGGAGATAAAAAGTACATTGAAAAAAAGTGTTCAAATGAGAAGATAAAATATAGAAAGAAAAAGTGAAGCAAAAGAGGATTCACCAGGAGATAGTGATATAAGATAACAAATGCTTCAAATTAGCTATAGCGGGTATTATAGCCTACTTAAACATTGTAAAATAAGTGAAGGGAAAATTATCTTATTAAAAAAAAACAGAATTTGTTTACTATGAATATGTGAAAAAAAGCCAAGCAAATTACATAGAATTATAGTCATGAATCGCTTTAGAAATTATAACTAACTCAAACAAAGGGGAAGAATCATACATTTCCACTGTCACGGTTAATAGAGACAGATAGTAAGTTATTATTGATGACGTTGTAACTATTATCCAAGATATTTTGAATGTTTTGAATGCTAGAACGTAAAATATTAACTTCATGATGTTTAAGACGTTCACAATTCTGTTGAATTAACGTTAACTGATTCCATTCAGGAGTATCCTACATAGACAAGTAAGAGAAAAATTGTAATCAAGTCAAACTAAGTCATTTATATGTTATGTCGTGATTTTTAAATATAATCCAAATAGAATGGTAAAAATAACATAAAAATATCTTTCGAACCCAAATGATTAACAGATCTCCATAGATATCTCAAGTGTGAATTATATCAAATTACCATATCGATAAGATGAAGGGTCAACCGAATAATCATAACCGGTTGGTCAGTTGATTAGTCTCAACGTAGAACCTGGTATGTATGTACACTGCCATATCCCATTATTACGGCGAGATGAAATTGTCTAGTATATTCACTGTTAACTCGATTCATAATTATGATTTATGTGGAAAATCAATAACAAAACAACAAGAATTTAAACGATACACACTAGAACAACTGTTCTTTTTTCAAATCAACACCAAAACATCCACTTATTATGAATAATCAATCTTCAGAAAACTGAGAATAAACTAACCTCTAACAGTAAAGTCCCATACGCAGCAATTAATAATTTTAGGCGATTAATCATAAAACTTAATGCTTTGTGTTCGCAGGCAATTTCTTTATTATACTCAAAAATACTCAACTGCAGTTTCATTATTGTGTGATTCGATTTAGAGTCTACTAGATATTTATTAAGTTCATCTGCAATGTATAGAAGAAAAAAAGATGAAGACGAGTATGAATATGTAAATTGACATACAACGGAAAAAGGTTATCGGAGTTTATTATAAATAAAAGTAATATATTGGCAAATATTATTATGAGAGAATAGATTATAGCGCTAACCTCTGTCCATAGAAAAAATACGTGAAAATATGAGGAATTCTGTCATGGATTCAATATCACCACGCAAATCACACTTCAATGGACTAAAATGAAAGAAAAAAAATAGAGTGAAATGGAACTTTAAGCAACTTTAATATCACCATATGTAAGAATGAATAGTCTTTCACATGTGTTGTATCATATATGACTGAGAATTAAGTATTGTATCTTCAAAAAATACTTGGCTCTACCTCGAAAAGATTTTCATCTCTGTATGGAATCAAACTGTAATGGGAAATGATCACGTAACTTGTAAATTTGTATTCAATTATAGCTTTGACTGACTTTCAAACATTAGGTTAGGTGTGCTAACCCTGGCTCTTCACATATTAATTTGATTAGGCTGGGAGTATCACTATTACACAAGTAATGCATTTCAAAGCCGAACATATAAGCCCATACTTAATATATGATTTTTAAGTATGTCAATAACTTTAAAGTGTTAACAATGAAATTCAACTTCATGTGTTACGACTTATAGGGTTGTACATGTTACAGTAGCCTATCATCAATAATGGGTTTGTCGAATTCTTGTTATATGACATTCAAAATAAACATACAGTAAGCTGAAATACTGACAGCTGCAAAAGGAACTCGGTTAGTAATATCACATAAATAAATAGTTTTGATTTTCTTATCAGAGAGTTCAATAAACATTTAGTTTTGTTAACACATTTTAAATCAAGTATGTTAGGCATCATTGATAAATTATAAAATGAATTTATACGACTATGCAGCATAAAAAAACCTCAGTTTGTGACTTACACATTTAAGCCAAAAGTTTGTAATAATTGTTTACGTGTTAATGCCAGAGAATCGGAAGAACTGATACCTTGAAGAATAGAAGAGAATGTTATAACAATGAATAAAACAGAGGATAGGAAGAAAGAAAATAGTGTATTTTACCTAACCAATTATAACACCATACAACTTTATGATTTATGTAAATAATAGGAAAAAATATATTTATCTTACTGTCGAATGAAGGTTGTTAAAAACTTACAGTTGACATCTATTCAATGGTAAGTTTATATAGCCACTGAATGTTAAAGGAAAGATCTGAAAACTATTGTGACATCTTTTGACTTGAATAACTTTTGCCTAATATAGACACTTTGTAAAAAAATAAACCTTCAATACTTGATCCATTGAACTTATTTGAATGAAGCATGTTCGGCCAATTTCACGTTCACAATAACAATCTAGGAAAGTTATACACCATAATATTAATGACCAGTATCAGTTCCATTATACAGAACTATTGTGACTTAACAGTTTATATGGTTATGTTTCCAGTCACTGTGAGTAGAAGAGATATTTACTTAAACTCGTTTTGTATTTTCAATAATGTCTTATTATTATTTATACATACAGCCATTGATATAAGTGGGCAAAAAAATATATATGTGCTACAGAAAATTTTTGTAAGGGTTAAGATACTGGCCGGATGCTCAAACTTATGGTAAATAACAAACAATTTTATCCATATCCATATTATAATTGTTCAGTGTAATGTAATGAACAATATGAAAACGGATAGATGAAAACTAATTAACGAGAGAGTCCTTTAGTATTAAATAATGTAACTCATTTGCCAAGTACAGTTTCATGTACCCGACTTTAAGGAACACTTCAGTGTAAGCATTAGTGATATTATCAAACTTGCCAAATCAAAGTAAGTGAATTGTAGTTAAACTCTAAAGCCTATTAGTTGGCAAATGAATGCTTTAGTCACTAGTACACCACATTTATTGTAATCGAATATCAACGAGACATGCATTTCTTGGATCAATTTTATCATAGTAACATAGGATACGATGATTTGATGCAAAGAGATTTAGTACGAGGTACATGAAAAAAGGTGATTACAACTGCTAATGAGCACGAATTTTTTTCACAGATAAAACTGATGTATCAAAATGAAAACTTGCCTAGAGTTATTGTCAATTTATTGTTCAGATTAACATGAGGTATAAAACCAGAGAACATGAAAAAATCCTCATTTGAACGATTTCCGTAGTCCATAAATATCTAAGTATATAAACAGGGAAGTGTGAAAAATAAAGAAATAGGAGAAACTACCTTCATTTATTAATTAATGTAATTGCTGACACAAAATAAACAAATAAACATCATTTTTAGTACGGAATTATTCCAGTAAGGTAATAATTTCGTGGCACGACAAAGGCCTACAAGTTTAGAACGTGGGAAGAATTTTTTTTTCAATAAATCGTTCGATCTTGAAAGAAAAATTCCTGAGGTAGTTTGGTCTTATGTTTTCCGTATTAGGCTATGAAAAGATTGAAGAACAGTCATCAGCTGAGCGGTTTCCATATATATTGCACTGTAAATTAACTCTATTTACCATTATAAGTTGTAAACTAATTAGCAAGTTAATGTTTGACAATAAGTCAGTGGTTTGTGCACATTAATTTGATTTGCAAGAATAGGTATGGTATCAATAATCCTCATATGAGAAGCATAACTTAAAGTCGGGTATACGTATCTATATTTAGCTGTTGAGTTATATTAAAATTTTGCATTAGTGTTACAAGACCACAAATTATATTTCCAAAATAGTGGACTTATTGTGAGTTTTGATCTGCACAATAAAATAAACACTAGGATGCTAGTTTATTGTTTATCATCTTAAAGTGAACTTATAATTAGACAGGAAACGTTAAAGACTTATTAACTTATCAAAATACAGCTCTGAGACAAAAAAATGTACCTGATCACCAGGTTTGTATGCCTCCATTGTACAGAATATTAATTCATCTACTTCAGGATAATAGTGTGTTGTAACCTAAATAAAAAATGAAGACAATAAAATCTATACACAAAACGTATGTGAATACACTAGGAAGTATCAGTAATCATTAGCGAAATTCACTTTAAAGCAGATCATAGATAAACAACGTGCCATTCAATACAAAAATGAATTGACTAAAGTTGGCACACAAATTTAGAAGAGCAGTAGACATATATGTGACGCTAGAAGACAAAGATTTGAGTTATATGGAAAAGCATCAGCTCAGTAAAGATTGAAAATATGACTTGCTAAGGGGTACCAACAAGCCAAGAATTAGGACCAGATGTTCCTGTGAATAGTGTCCAACTAGTCAAAAACTAACAAAAATATGGATGGTGACGGTAACAAATTAGAAAATGATATCATTTGCAGGATTGTGAGCAAGAGAAAAAAGATGTAACTGCGTTAGGGAAAACTGTTTTAAACAGTAAAAGGTTTTATCAAAGCAAGGTTGTTGCTAAATGTCACTAAGCCTCTTTTCATAAAAGGTCATAAAACGATAACTATTATGAAAACGAAGAATATTGATAGTTCATAAATATGGAGTGAAAAGTGGCTTACATCACACTATATAAAAACCCGTTGATTATTCCTTGGACCGGGAATTGGTGTCAGACTAGAGAGATAATAACCGGTAAACCTTTTTTATTGAGTGGCTTTATTCAATATTATATTTTGGTACAATATAGAATTCTCAGTACAAGGTATTTCAACAAGTTACTTACGCAAAAAACAGTAACAAAGACAAAAAAAGGTTAAAAAACACCGAAAAACCGTACAAATTTTCAAATTTGAGACATGTTAAGAATGCAGGCTATTGACTAGGTCAACTCTAACAACCTGTTCTTCACAGAGTATATTTGTTAGATAAGGTATTATAGAACTTTTATACTTTTGCTTGCGTGCACGGACTTTAATGTAATTACGTCTCGTTCTACCAGAAGATATACAAGGAGAAAGATAAGAGTGAAGGGAATGGTTAGAGTCTGATAAAATAACACCTGCCAGGAGTTTGGATGACTTTAGATGTCTATCCACAACCATATTATGACCTCGAAAGATTCACCACACAACTTGCTAACTGCCTTCAGCACTCTCTGCGACACAGCAGTCTTTCCTCAAAAGCCCGGAAAAGAATCATGCAGTAAAGCCATCACGAGGACTGAGGTAATATAATCTAGTCTTTCGGATGGTGAGGAATTACAAACTAAATACGATAGATATGGGATGATTATAAAAGTTTCACTGAGTTAATGCTGGGTCTATTTCGATGTTTTATCCGGGTTGTTTGGAAATAATGGGTAGCTGCACAGCAGCTGAACTGCTCCTTAAAATGTTCCGCCCATCGTTCTAAACGTCGGGATTGAGAGCACAAAAGTGTCGTCTTTTTCCGAGATTGCCCCACTTACACTTATTATTTCGAGTTTCTTTTATCTGAAGAGCTGTCTTGTGTTACCTACAGCCGCAACAAGCAACACCTGGGTCAGCCTCATTTTTAAAATGGCCCAAGTATGAATTCAGTTGTTCCTGGAAATCGTCTTTTGCTTTGTCACGTCTGAGATCAACTCTGATGGGTCTTTTTAATGTGGCTTTTCTGTGTCCAATGAAGCGCATGCAAATGCATACTCGTATTAGAGCATGATCAGAGTCTAAACATGCATTCCAGAAGGATAGGCAGTCTTCTACCGAGCCTCTCCAATGCTGAATGATGGTAACATGGTCTATTTGAATCCATCGTCCATTTGGTGCAGGAGGTCGCCATCTTAGACGATGTCTCTTTATACTGGTCAGAAATAAAATATTGTCTGAACACAGTTAAAGCTGACGGTCACGATTATCTGTTTGCTGAGCTGTAAAACTAAAAAAAGCTTTCTGCAAAATTTTTGATCCACTTCAACCAGGCTGCAATCAATGGAAGCATAAGTAGAAACAACAAAAAGGTAACGGTGTGTGTCTCTATGCTTGCGAGTTCTTACGGAGCAGTTTGGCCGAACAGCACATAGGTGACTGTTAACAGGGATCCATTCTAATAATGCATATTTTGCCCTCCTAATCAGTGCTATGCCTACACCTACCAGTGTACGAGAACTAGCCATCCGGTTGCCAGATTAACGGAGGGTGTATCTCGTCAGCTCTCTGTTTTGGCGAAGTGAGGTCAAGTGAATAACTACACTAGGACCATATATGCGTGTTTCGGAGAAACAGCATACATCAATCGTACGAGATTTTAAGGTTTTAGCCAAGTAGACCTGCTGAGCGATTTGAAGTAGGATGCGTACATTGAAGGTTCCAATGTGTAGTTTGGAGAAAGGTTATAGTAGACTTGAGACAGTATTCCGCACACTGGGATCGTTGGCCATGGTGACACTTGAGGGGGGAGTTTAGAGTTGATAGCTGAGTTAGAAGGAATTATAGGAGTTGAAGAGGGAACTTGATTATGAACAGTGGTCTTAAGTGCTGTTAGATATGAGGTTGGTTATCACTTCCCGGTTGCTCACACCATGGAAGATTTCTTCTAGAGATTCCTGAAAAGTAAATTGGGTTACGGGCAGTCTTAGTGACCTGAGAGCGTGACCGTAGAAACCAAGGGACAACAGCTTTAGGCCAGTCACGCACGACCTTTTTGTGAATAATTTTCGTGTTAGCTTTATACTTGTTGAGACCTTACCGATGGAGACGGATATTCGTGGGATAAGGCAAGATGTGCATCACTAGGATCGACCTTTTCTAGACCCACCATCCCTTGTGGGAAGGCACTATCGCTGTTATGCTGGTTGTCTGAAGGAAACACCTTACTGCCGTTACACCTCTGTACAGTCAGCATTACAACTTCGCCCTCGGACCTTCGGTTTGCTGCTTTAAGTTTTACCACTCTTCAACCAACCTTTCTGGCATGGTAGGACCTTGAGCAACAATTGTTCCAGCCAGTATAACTCGATTGGCTCATCACGATTAGTACGCCCGAGCACCACGTCAAGGTAGCAGCAACGGTTGAGACTACTAGAGTACGCACTGGAAAGTCCTGGAATTCATTATACCATACTAAATTGGAATACTTCCACTGCTTAGAGCAACATTGAACAAGATTTTATCAAGTACAGTTTACTGACTTACACGACCGGATTTATGATTCATCATATCCCAAACCGGGATAAGACACATAATTTTATCTCTTCCGTTAAGGTGTGGTATGTAATTGCTTCTACTCATTACTGTTGACACAGCCCATCTAGATAAAAATAATGAAAAAACATCAAATAGTTGGGATAGCACTGGAAGTAGTATCGTACTGAAGTCATACAGTAAAGTTTGACAAGACATGCATGAAAAGCTGCAGGTTACACCATTGATACCTAAAACATCAGAAGCTCGTAATGATTTCAATATGTACCTATCAAACGAATTACATCATTAATACAGACTCATGGAAGAATTAACATTTTTTATGATGAAAAACCTTTGGTAGTTAAAATGTTCAGATTATTAACGCTCAATTCTAACTGAACACATGAGTTGGAAAAAGAAAACTAATGTATTATTCATAGTGTACAGGGAGATAAATACATTGTAGTTAAACACCATAAAATGTTTTCAGACAAATTCAGTTTTTGTACCACTAGTATTACAAATGCCTATTCTCCCACTGACTGCAGCTCAGATGATGTAAAAGATGAGTTTTACAGAAAGTTTCCCGACCTTCTCCGAAAAGCTAGGCGCTCGGATGTAGTAATAGTGGCCGGTGACTTTAATGCTCAAGTAGGTAAACTAAGCGATAGGGAAAGACACCTAGGTGGATCTTACGGTGTCGTGGCTCAAAGAACAGATAATGACGACCGTCTGTTGCAGCTATGCTCAGATAACCGCTTGTTCCTTGCAAATACTAACTTTAAGCATAAGGAAAAACGTCTTTTAACATGGCGACCTCCTACTTCGTCCCAACGTTGGACCCAAATAGATCACATCGCTATCAGCCACCGATGGAGGGGCTCGATAGAAGACTGTCGCTCATTCTGGAGCACATGCCTAGATTCAGATCATGCTCTAGTGCGAGCGCGTATTTGCTTGCGTCTTACTGGACGTAGGAAAGACGCTGCAAGGAAACCTCTTAGGGGCCTACTTAATGATAGTCAAGCTAAGAATATATTTCAGGAACAACTAGGAAAACAGTTAGGCAGCCATGTATGTGATGCCCACACCGATGCAGCATGGAATGATATCCGAAAAGCGATGAAAATAGCAATGGTATCTTTTAGTGAGGTAAACCATAAGGTTAGGGAGAAACACTGGATCTCAGCAGCAACGACCGAAATGACAGATGCCCGAAAACCCATTTCATCTGGCTCTGAACATAATGAAGAGCGAAGTCAGCTTAAACGTAAGCTGACAAGAAGTCTACGCAATGATCGTGAACAGTGGTGGGTAGCGAAAGCAAGAGAGATGGAAAAGGCAGCGGCAATAGGTAATAGCAGACAATTGTTCAGACTCGTTAAGGAAACCGGAATTAGGAACCCGACCGTTAACGAAACAATCTCAGAGAAAGATGGACATGTTATTCATTCTCAATCCAGGAGATTGGATCGATGGGCAGAACACTTTAGGGATCAGTTCAACTGGCCTTCAGCCACATTTCGGTTTCCCACGATCTCTAGCCAACCTGAATGGCAAGTTAATGTAGGTCCTCCGTCCCTTTACGAAGTTGAAAAAGCCATACGAAATCTTAAACGAGGGAGAGCAGCAGGCCCTGACAGGTTTACTCCTGAGATTTTTAAGGATGGTGGTCCAGTATTAGCAATGAGATTAACTGAGGTCTTAGGCAGAATTTGGGAACTGGACGTAATCCCATCTGACTGTTCTCAGTCACTGATTGTGCCAGTCTATAAGAAAGGACAAAAGTCCTCTTGTGACAATCACAGAGGAATCAGTTTGACTAATATAGTGTCTAAAATATTAGCTTCAAAAATACTTCGACGCCTAATCAAAGCTCGTGAAGAGCAGATTAGAGAAAACCAGGCCGGTTTTCGACATGGATGTGGTTGTATAGATCAGATATACACACTACGTCAGGTTCTAGAACATAGACACACATTCAGACGCCCCACAATGGTATTATTTCTCGACCTTAAGGCGGCATTCGACTCTCTGGATCGTGAGGTTCTATGGCAGTGTTTGTCACTGAAAGGAGTACCAAAGAAGTACATTAACCTTATAAAGGCTTTCTACTCGAACACAACTGGTAGAGTGAGAGCTTATGGCGAACTGTCATCAGAATTGATTACCTCAAGTGGTGTTCGTCGGGGCTATCCACTCTCCCCATTCTTGGTCAACTTTGTCGTCGACGTACTTTTAGAGATCACACTCTCCTCATCTAAATTTCCAGGGGTTGAACTTCTACCGGGAGGTTCACTTGTTGACTTAGAATATGCTGATGACATAGTTTTATTTGGTGAAGACGCCGACAAAATGCAGAGTCTTCTGACCACTCTAAGCAACAATGCAAGCACGTTCGGGATGCGATTCTCTCCCTCGAAATGCAAAATGTTGCTTCAGGATTGGGTTACATCGACACCCGAACTAGTGATAGGGAGTGAAGTAGTTGAGAGTGTCGATCGCTCCACTTATATTGGAAGTTTCATCAACCCTTGTGGTTTAGTGTGTGACGAAATCTCAGCACGGATACAGAAGGCTCGACTAGCTTTTGCCAACTTGCGTCATTTATGGCGTAGGCGAGATAACCGTCTATCAACCAAAGGACGTATTTACTGCGCAGCAGTTCCTTCCGTCCTACTTTATGGCAGCGAAACATGGCCGGTAAGAGTAGAGGATATCCGTAGGTTACTAGTATTTGATCATAGGTGTCTTCGAAACATTGCTCGCATATCATGGGACCATCGAGTAAGTAACACAGTTGTTAGGAAACGGGTACTAGGTAAGGATGGCAAATCAATTGATGAAGTAGTGAAACTTCATCAGTTGAGATGGCTGGGACACGTGTTACGTATGCCCAACGACCGACTGCCCCGACGTGCGATGTTTTATGTAGGAGCAGGTTGGAAGAAAGCTAGGGGCGGCCAGACCAAAACATGGCACAAGTCCATGAAGTCACTGACAAGTGAACTGAGTCATGTTGGTAGGTGTAGACTACCTGGTTGGGGACCGCGAGATGATAGCAACCGATGGTTAGAGACCCCGAATGACATGGCTCAAAATCGTTTGCAATGGCGCAGGTGCATCCACTCTCTGTGTTCTCCCAAATTCTAATCTTCTGAATTCTTCATGTCCCTTTTTTCCTCTTTCCAAATTTATTTCACTGTATTATACTCTTTAAATAACATCTCCAGACCCTAATCTTCCCGATTACTGCTTATACTCTTATTACCTCTACCACTACAGGATTAGAATCGACAACTGCATCTCTGTGCTAATGTGGTGTGGCAACTCGAACTGATGTACGTACGTACGAAGTTCTACGTTGTTACTGACTGACTGACTGACTGAGTATTACAAAAACCTCTTAAATCTTGCATACATTTCGATTTGTCCTCGTTGGGCCGATATGGTGTGGAATCTTAGGTACATGAACAAATATGCCAGATTCTACTTCGCTTATGGATGACTAATCGACCGAATCTATCATCAACATAGAAACTTGAAAATATCCTACGTGGAAGATATATAATAACTAGTTGTGTGCAACAGACTGTGTGATGCACTCACAAAGCAAGACTGAAAACTGCTTTTCGTCGGTGTGGATACACTCGGCTACATAAATATTAATAATTCCTATAACTATTAAGTTACTTAACTTTAGTTGCAACTCAGTGTTCAAAATACAACGTAAAAAATCAAGAAACAAAATGAGCACATGTATTAACGATTCTATTCGATACAGACTCAGTACGAAGTCAGTCGACTCGCAGTATTGTCTAATCTCAGAATTTCTAACGCGATGGTCCAAAAATATATGAGCTATGGTTCGGTGATACGTATAATCGAATAATAGTGTAACCTACGAATATTCTTCACTTTCAAAGGCCACTTTTCATAGCCACCAAGTAGAACGGAGGGAACTGCTGCTCAGCAAACTCGTCGAGATGACTGGTGGATATCTCGCCTACGCAACAAGTGATGCAAGTTAGCAACATCTAACCAGGCTTTCCGAATTCGTAGGGAGCTTTCGTCAAACAACAAACCGTCAGGACTGATAAGATTACCAAGATAAATGAAATTATAGACATTCAACTACTTAACTCGATCATAAAATCAGGGTTTGATATAAACTGATTTTGAACGATATTTTGCATGTGAAAGCAGAGAAATGCAGCTTAAACATCCTCGTATTATTGCTTAAAGTGATCAAAAGAACGCATTTTGTCAGCGGTTTCCTCAAACAGAACTATATCATCTGAATATTCTAAATCAAAACGTTTTTCCTGAAGGTTCGATTCTTGAAAAGTCAGACGATGAGTGTTGTCTAAAAGAATTTCTGCGAAAACGTAAGATAAAAATAGAGAAAGCGGATAATCTTGACCAATACCACTTGAAGTAATCGATTTCCATGGCAGTTCGCCATAAGCTTGAACCCAACCGGTAGTTTTCACGTAGAGAACCTGTACAAAGTTAATATACTTTCATACGCTTTTCAATGACAGATACTGCTATAGAACCTACTGATTAACAGAATCGAACGCTACCTTGATGGTGTCAAGTGTATCTTAACTACATTAAGAAACACTTACAACTTCATTCATCTATATTGAAAATGGGAAAGTGAATTACTCCGGCAGATTGAACTGATTTAATGTAACTGACAAGGAGAACAATTGTGAGTTTGAACGTCTTGCATAGGGAGGACTAGTTGTTCGGTTAAATGGGGACGAGAAGAAAGTCGATTGCGACTCATGTCAAGCAACATATCCTAAGGTGTAATATTGATTGGTAAAATAATAGGACCAGAATAAAAAAAGTGGTAATTTACGGAGTGAAAAGTCGGCCTAATCTATGCATTCTAGTATATGCTTCTTGTATGGACCATGAAGTTAGGATTCCTTGACTACAGATAGATACTAGTTGGTATTATTATTATTTAAACATTAATACAAGGAGACACCGAATACATATGCGCCATACAAGTCACTTGATTTATGTGCGGGCTGTTTTACTGCCCAGGTGCACAGACCGAAGCAGGTGTTTTCTTAGAGGGCCAAACCTAGAGTCTTTGACATAAAGGTCTGATCCACAACGCAGGGGAGCAACGTAAGGAGACGCAGTTCCGTGGTAGCTGGTGATTAACAACAGGTTCAAACGACATTTGTTTACTTAGGAGCTTGAAGCCCATGTACACCATTGGTTTGGAATCAGGGTTTCTCAACTCTTTTAGGTGGATCTTCCGTATCAACCGACACCGTCAAAGCGCCAGACATTCGCTTTCTGTCCTCTGAATTTTGGAAAGAACACCCGCAACGCGAGAAGGCATTGAGTAAGACTTCCCTGACAGTGCTTGTATACACGTGGCTATGTGAGAGCATTTCGAGGGAGAGAGCTGACTCTCCTCACTTTCGGCCGTATCAGGGCATTCGGAGGCTGGATAATTCTTTGATACATTTTCCGTCAATTTACGAAAATTTCGTTGTGATACTCACTTTGGAATTAGGTCGACTGCTCTCATTTACATTTGTCTCAACGTCGACACCCGTACAGACTTTAATGAACTTTTTTGTGCAGCATTCTGTATTACCTATCTACATCTTTATCATATCACCAAACGATTTTCTAAGACAACATATGCTGTGAATTTCAGGGAATTGATGGCCATATATGACTTCGACAAGTGCATAGTCGATAACACATAAGGTGTTTGTAATCACACTAGAAACTACAATCTGGCCCACAACTTAATCCGGTTCATTTCTATAATGACTTGGTCCTATGGAAACATTTCGCTCATTAAGTTAGGTGACCTTTGTAGGTTTTGACTGGAGTTTACGGACAAATTATCTTTTTGTAGCTAATCAGTTTTACTTTTCAACAAACAAGTAAAACACCTTTGGCATACGAAGGCCGTATTTTTGAAATACTTTGGATTATATGTACAAGAAAGACCATGATAACTACGTATACTTAACTCACAATATCTGATAAACATTCACAACCACAGGCAGAAATGAGAAACAATTGATGAAACAACAAAAATACCCATTTGAGAGGGGCACAATATTGTAATAGTAGCTTAGAGTATATCTCACATAAATATCAAAACATATGTTGTAAATAAACAAGCAAATTAAACATTGCGTTCACTGACCTATAATCATCGAAACAAAAGACGAGATCCGGGATATCAAAGACTGTTGGGTTATTAATGAAGCGACAGCAAAAGTAAGCGTATTGGCGACAAATGAACAAATAGTTTGAAACAATTTTTTCTGAAAAGCGATGTCAAAGGTCAAGCATTCATATTACCTAGAACTGGCGATCCCTTCAAGAGGCAAATATCCACAACGTCCATATACAGAAATGTAGAATACTCAAAAGGCAATGTTTCTGTACACTAATTTATTGTGAAACACTTTACTTATATAATCTCTCCATGTTGATTTGTCTCCTTGGTACAGTTCACGCAATAAGCACAAACAAAGTGCAACATTCTCCATACTCGATGCCAGGTTATCTTGTGCTATAAACTCTCCTAACAAATTAAATACTGGAAGATAAAACATACTCAGACATGTTGATGAATCTTCTACAGAGAGCACGGCCCGCCTAGTCAACCTGATTAATTGTTGACCCTCCTAAAGGTATAAAAGCTTCCAGTATTACCTTAATAGGAACGGAGGCAGTGAGTCCAAACCCATATTTTTCGAACCAGTGAACCGTATAATTATCACATGGAAGAAAATTCTCCAGGTCTTTCTTTCTCCTCTCACAAGACTTCATCAATTTAGACACATAGCTATGTTCTGAACATGCATAATCCATTGAAACCGCTTACCCTTCTGGACAGAAATAATTTCAGAAGTTAGAGACTGCAATGCTTTAATAATCTCTATTGCATTGGCGGAGGTTATTGTCGAGTTCAAGCATCCTAAGAAATAGAAAAAAGCTAGATCCTACTTTCCATAAGTTTTGCTGCAAGTGATGATGTCTTCTCACGCACCTGACGTAAACTCTTACTGTATTTATTTGCCCTACACATCCCACTCAGGCCGACAGTAACGCATAATTCCTAGTTGAGTACGTCGTCCAATATACGATGTCCTTGAAAATCCAATAAAGGTAGTTGACATTTTTAATCTAGGTTTCTGATGTTTGGCAGCAGCTTCCAATTTTCAGTACCTCTCGTGATTTAAATTGTTCCTACGACTGCAGTGGTCCTGGTGATTGATAGTTTGTTATTTTACACGTGAATTTAATTCAAATGGTTCAAATGGTTCAAATGGTTGTGGACGGAATAGAAGAAGCTTTCGCTTAACAGGCTTCCGTGTCTAGTAGCAGGGGATCACCAAATCCTCCAGGCAGGAACCTAGGTATGTTAACAATAAAAGAGGAAAAGAAATTGGTAAATCATAGTGCGATGCATTCATGTTGTCTTGCACACCATTATTTTTTCTTGTTTTCTTATTTTTACTAGCCTGCTCCTTACGAACATAATAGGGTTTCAGAAGCCCTCAGTGTCCAGATTGTTACTGTGGGTAAATGTATGTATATTTTTGTGTATGGCCTTTCTAGCTTTAATGTAATCTCATCAAGTACTTCAAATTATTGGTCAGGAGTTCAAATGGTTCAAATGGTTGTGGACGGAATAGAAGAAGCTTTCGCTTAACAGGCTTCCGTGTCTAGTAGCAGGGGATCACCAAATCCTCCAGGCAGGAACCTAGGTATGTCAACAATAAAAAAGGAAAAGAAATTGGTAAATCATTGTGTGATGCTGTCCCTGGTCCTTAAGAATAGGTCAAGTTGCCTCTTGAAGGACTCCTGAGAAGTTGCTTGGACTAGCTCGGCTGGTAGCGAATTCCAGATTTTGACAACTCTTAAGGAGTAGAAGTTGTGTCTACATTCCGTCTTGCTATGTTGTGTTTCCAGTTTCTGGGTGTTACCTCTTAGGTTATTATTCGAACTAAGCTTAAGTAGGTGTTTAAGAGGATGTCCAGAAGTGTTAAGAATACTATAAGCCATTAATAAATCACCTCTAAGACGCCTATACTCTAGTGGGTAAAGGTCTAGTGAATGGAGGCGTTCTTCGTAAGGTTTAGATTTGAGTCCTCGAACTGATTTCGTGGCTCGACGTTGGATACGCTCCAAAGTGACCTTGTCCTTTTGGAGTGAGTGAGGGAGTACTATGTTTCCGTACTCTAAGTGGGGACGGATGAAACTATTGAAGATTGTATGGAAAGTTCGTCCGTCAAACTGTCCAAAAATGCGCTTCAACGTTACCAGTGCAAGGTTTGCTCGGAAGGCATTTTTGTCACAGTTAGCATAAGACTTTAAATCATGGGGCACCAGGACTCCTAAATCTTTTTCGACTTGGGATACTACTAGAGAGGAGTTTCCTAAGTTGTAACTGTAGTTTGCGACATGTCGCAGATGGACTACTTTAAACTTTGAAGTGTTAAAGGTAAGTCCGTTATACTACTAGAGAGGAGTTTCCTAAGTTGTAACTGTAGTTTGCGACATGTCGCAGATGGACTACTTTACACTTTGAAGTGTTGAGGGTAAGTCCGTTATACTACTAGAGAGGAGTTTCCTAAGTTGTAACTGTAGTTTGCAACATGTCGCGGATGGACTACTTTAAACTTTGAAGTGTTAAAGGTAAGTCCGTTATCGTCTGCCCAACTTTGAAGTCGAGTCAGATCCTCCTGAAGTGCCTGTATATCGTCTTGGTTGCGTATCTCTCTCCAAAGTTTCACGTCGTCGGCAAAAAGTAATAAGTCTGACGTTACCTGTTGAGGAAGATCATTTATGTAGATGAAGAAGAGAAGTGGCCCTAGTACTGAGCCCTGGGGGACCTCACTAGGACATTCCATAGCCTGAGATAAAGTGAAATTGACCCTTACCTCAAAGTGTCGATTTTTTAGGTATGAAGTAAGCCAATAGATTAGAGGTGGTTTGATACCTAGTCGTTTGAGCTTATTGGTAAGACACAAGTGGTTAACCTTATCAAAAGCTTTTGAGAAATCAAGGTAAATGATATCAACCTTTCCCTTACGATCGAGGATGCTTGTCCATCTGTCAACCGCAGTCAGCAGGTTGGTTATACAAGAGTAACCCTTCCTGAAACCATGCTGTTGGGGTGAGAAAAAATTTAAGGACAGTAGATAGTCATTTAAACCGTCGCATATCAGGGAATCCATGAGTTTTGAAGGTAATGACAGAAGAGCCACCAGCCGATAACTTGAAGGTTCATTGCGTCGACCTCCTTTGAAAATTGGTGTGATGTGAGCCAACTTCCAATTTTCCGGTAATTTGCCTCGGCTTAGCGAGTGCGAAAACATCACGCTAAGCGGCGTTGCCAGGATTGAGGCTGCCTCCCTCAGTATGGCAGGATGAACCATATCCGGGCCAGGAGAAGTATTTAGTTTTAAGTGCTGCAATTTCCGGAGCACCAAGTCAGCACTAAGGTCTACTTCGGAAAGTCCTGTGGAATTGCAGATGAAACTGTCGTCAGTAAAGTTGATGTCAGCCGGTTGAAATGTTTGAGAGTAATGTGCCGCCAGAAGGTCAGCGGCGTCGTCATCGTTGTTGGTCGGGCCGTTAAGAACTACCAGTTGAGAAACTCCTGTTTTGGCTTGACGAAGAGAGGCTGCATAGCGGAATAGGCTTCTAGGGTTAGAGGTAAATTTGTCCATAAGCTTTGTCTGGTACTGAAGCCTGTCTTCTCTTATAGCCTTCGTGCATATGTTCCTGATATGTTTATATTGTCTATACGCTCCGTCGTTATCAGTTCGTTTGTATTCCGCCCAACAGTGCCTTTTTCGGCTTAGCAGGCGAAGGGTACGGTTCTTGATTACTGTGGGTGGCTTGCAGCTTTTGGGAACCGTTAGAGGAACTGAATGGTTTGTAGCACATAGGAGCGTATGCAGTAAGAAGTCCCAATGACCGTCCACGTCGAGTTGAGGGTGAACATCCCAAACCACCTGTTGTAGATAGTCATGTAGAGCTGGCACATTCAGCTGTTTAAAATTCCAACGCAAATGATTGTTGGGATACCTTAGCTTAGTTTTGATGACAAAACTGAAGGCTATGACGGCATGATCGCTCTTTCCCAGAGGAGCCAGGATTGAGAGGTTGTCAACTAGGAATTCTTCGTTTGTGAATACACAGTCTAAGCGCGATAGTGCCTGACTGTTTCTCCAACGAGTTGCCAACCTCACATTTTCATATAAGCCCAAGTTATCGATGAGGTTGAAGAACCGAGCTTCAATTGAGTTGTCGCCTCCAGTGTACGTGTGTTCCGCGAAGTTGACTCTAGGGAGATTAAAGTCCCCTAGAATCAGGATGTGTGTGATACCGAGACGGGTAGAGCGGGATAGCCCTTCCAGCATACGACTATCGTACTCGATGTCGGCAGTTGGCTTCCTGTAAATGACTCCGACTAGACACCTCGAAGTACTAGACAATCTTACAGAGCACCATATGGATTCCTCAAGATTGTTAAACTCGAGGTTGTGAACTTGGTGCACCTCTAAGCAAGACCTTATGTATATGGCTACTCCGCCCCCAATTCCTGTTTTTCTGTCGTTCCGGAACAAAGTCATCCCAGGCAATGCTAACTCTTGGTCCGAGAACTGAGATGTCCAGGTTTCAGATATTCCTATCAGATGGGCCTTGTTAGCGTTGCTAAGTTCACGTAATTCATCCAGTTTATTTGGTAGACTCGCGGCGTTCATATATAAGCAGTTTATGCTTTCGATTTGGAACGCGTGAGCTTCATCCTGTTTTTCTGTATGAGCCTTATGTGAATGGACAGGTAGCCCACCTATATGAGGTTTGCCGAGGTGGTAGGCCCTGTCCTTTACACGTTTTTTTATCATTTAGACAGTCCACAAGTGGAATGGTCAGCTCCAACTTGCTTTTGTGTTTGGTCCTAGCTTCATATGGCCTATCCGGGTGCATGTGGATTCCAGGTGGCAATCGACGTCTGTTGGCACGAAATGCTTCCAGAACTGCAGCCGCCATGTGGGAAGATGGGAAGGTTATCTTCATTAGACGAGGTCTAGGATCACCGTCCTTCTTGGCTAGTCTCGTCACATGCTGAGTCAGTATGTGTTTGAGCCTCAAGGACTGTTTGATGAATTTCCATTCCCTGATGTCAGAATTTGATTGAGTAGGGTCTGCATTTTCCGGTATACCTTGCACAATTATGTTTCTTCCGCGGAAAAAGTGATCGCGAGTTTCTTTGGGGATGTTCCGTATGATATTGCGCTCAGAGTACGGTATGTCGGGCAATATTTTTACGTTACCATCGGATTTCAACAAGTGACTTGCTAGCAAGACGTCCTCTACGTCGGTAGCATTCTTAAGTGTTACTCGGAGAAGCCTCGGGTGATTTAGATGCTTAGAATCCTTTCCTCGAGTGAGCCGGCTGACCGCCAAAGGCTCTATTCTAGGAAGTTCGAGCTTCTTGTTCAATTCACCCCAAAGCATCCTGTCGTTTTTGTCCTGCAGACTGAGAGGAAGATCAAGATTGTCAACGAGGTTCATGATAATGAGAGAATCGTCACGAACTGTTGTTAATTTACCAGATTTCACGATGGGTTCAGGTTTGGTAACTTGTTGTTTGGAGGTCGGTGCGCGTTTTTGAGTCTTGGGCTCTTTATTGACCGGACGAACAGACTTGGGGGTAGACTGTGCGACCAAATCACCAGTTATTTTCCGTACAGCAACACTTGGGTTGCTCGGCTTAGGCAGTGATGCCTAGTTCTTTTGGGCTCTCTTAACGTGGGTCGAATCACCTACAGGGTTTTTGGGAACTACTGTTGTGTTCAGGGACCCTAAGCTGGGAGACCCGAGTTTGCTTAAGGAGTCTAGTACCGTCGACGTAATGATGGTGCTGAGCCTCGAGACGTCATCATTAGTGTTGACGGATGCTCCATCGGTGGTATACCTATCGGCATCCCTATTTTTGTGTCCGTCGCACGGTCTTGTTTGTCTACCGGTTTTTTTACTGTCGTTATCCAAGTTAACTGACAACTTGTT